ACGGTGTTCTACTTTGTATCTTAGATCAATCAAAATGTTAATTTTTATTTTTAAATTTTATATTTTGGTCATGTAATAACATTAGATATGATGTGTGTCCTATAAAATAGAGGGGGAGAAAGAAAGAAAAAAGGAAGAAAGAAAGTTGAGAGTGAAATTGGAAGAGTATGGGTGGAGGAGAAGAAGAATTCATAGAAGCAGATAATGCAGAAGCTATTATCACCACAATTGAACACAAATCACACAAGATCGAATCTTTACTCAAACAGTCAGTACTACTCTTTTTCTTCTCGATAATTATATCAACAATGTGTTGGTCTAGTGCTTCGGCCGAAACACCCCACTATATGATTATTATGTTCTTTTATCAATGTTAGGTATAAACCGGTGGAAGCCCTTAAAACTGCTCTTGAAGGCACACAGGCCATGACTGGTGATGAACGTTGCAAGGTTCATTTTTTCCTTTTTACCCTTATCATTCACACCTTCTATATCCCTAATCTAATGCCTTTCATTTTTCAGATCCTCCCTTATAAGCTTTTTCTATATGTTGTTTGTTTATTTGGCTTTTAATTTTGAGTTTAACTTCGAAAAAAAGCTGAAATTTCATTTTAATGTAAAATCACTTTTTTAAGCCTAACAAATGGACCTTTAATAGTAGTTCGTGCATATATTTGATTCATAGTTACCTGATAGATAGTACACAGTTCGTCACTTTTTACATTAACGAACTCGATATGTGATAAGGAACTGAAACAACATGATTTTCGATTCAAGGTTTAGATTATTTCGGAACTTGCAGCTTATTTGTCCATGTGTTTTCGGATTTTATTTTGCAGTCTGCACACTGGCTCGTGGTGCATAGAGCTATAATGGCTATAAAGGATGTGGATGGTGTGCTTTCTTCATTGGATCCCGAGTACTATGATATTCTAATGAAGTGAGTACTCAATTTTACTTTTTCGGTTCACCTTTTACATGTTACTTCATTTTTAACATGTAACATTCTGAGTTAAATCGACAACTTCTCTAAGAGCTGCTAGGTATGTTGCTAGGTATATTGCTAGGTATGTTGTTAGGTATTTTTAACATGTAACATTCTGAGTTAAATCCACATCACTACTTTTCATACTTGAAGAGTTTCTAGCTATGTTTCATGCCTGTGCTAGGACACATTATTGGCAGCACTTGACCACAAAATGTGACTTATAACTTTGAGCCACCTGACATAAACTTTAAAGACAGACATGTAATAGAAAGGATTACCACACAACCATTTCTTAGTTAAAGTGATTTTCCCGTCCTCTGATCCTCTCCTATGTTGCATGGGTATTTCAAAGAAACTGAAGTATGGGAAGTACCCATATTGGGGATTACCGGTACCCATGGGTTCTCATTTGATGTGAATTGTTTCAAAGTTGTGTCATTTTGAGAAAAAATAGGATTTTTTCCATCTTTTTTCTTAGTTAAATCACAATACTAAATGAGTCATATAATTAGTACCCTCGTCTTCACATTTCACATAAGGAAAATGATATATCCTCCTACTAAATCCTCCTACTAATCCTCCCACCCACAAAAAGTGACATATGCCACAAAGTGATACTTTATTTATTAGTGATTGGTTTACAAGTGACATATGTCACTTTTTTGTGGGTAGGAGGATTTAGTAGGAGGATATATCATTACTCTTCACATAATTACATACCCAAGTCTTCACATAATACTAAATAGTTACCGTTACCATACATGTAGTCATGCAACATATCTGCATGTATACTTTATTCTTTCAATGTACCCGTACTCTAGTTTTTGAGAAAATTGTCGAACCTCATACCTGGTATGTACCACGTACCCATATTTGTGTAACACAGCTCCTCTCTCTGATCCCTCCAAAAGTACTATTACAAAACCTCACTCCCAAACTTTCATTTAACAAATGAATGAACATTCATCACTTGCTGCCCAAAAACCAGTAGAGAGTCAACTTATCAAATACTTGCTACCTAAAAACCAAGTTCTAGCTTCTGGTTGGACCATTTACGGTAATTACATAGTTGGAAGTCCAACTTGAAAAATAAGTCTGTCTTCCTGTGGCTCATATTCTCAACAAAAATATTAGCCACAAGAGCTGCATCTAGAATATTTCTACCCTCGGCAAAAAATGTTTGAGTGAATGATATTTTAGTCTCTTTGAACTTTGCTCAACCCCATAATGATCGAACCTTTTGTGTGGTCTTATTAATGCTAGTGACCAATGTGATAGGTCTAAATCCTTAATGTTAGCATAATGATCTTTTTCAGGAACCGAAGTAATGAAAGCAGAACTATGTGAAAACCAATCTTACCATTGATATAGAGCTCATGGAAAACCATTAACATAACTCCCTTAACAATATCCAAATAATTCGGAAAAAAATGGCTATGATATATCATATCAGTAGGTAAAAATGGCTATGGTAATCCTTAATCAGACTCTTTTCTTCTCCCTTGCATCTTCAAAGGCCTTATAGGGTAAAATCATTGAATATCAGTATACTACAGGCTTAGATCATTCTCTCTCATTCTGATTCCTATAGGGTAAAATCTGTTGTTTCCAGGTGTTGTTAATTCAAAGAAATTATCAATTAATCTTGGCATTGAGATATAATGCTTTAAGTGGGTGAGTCTTGGCGCAACGGTAAGGTTGCTTGCCTTGTAACCTGGAGGTTATGGGTTCAAATCTTGGAAACGGCCTCTTCATTTGCGAGGGTAAGGCTGTATTCATCTACCATACCTATATCCCACCAGGTGGAAGCCTCGTGCACAGGGCTACTCTTTTTTATTGAGATATAATGCTTCAAGTGGAGACTTCAATGAGAGCTTTTGGCCTAACATTGTCAAAGTTGTTCTTTAATTTTGTTAGCTACCTTTTACTCTCTTAGCTGTCGTCTCTGGGATGGTCGGCTTGACGAACTTGACTGATATCATTATTGTTATTAGTCAGGAATTCAGGGTTTTTGTGAACTGTGCATTAGAACACAACACTTGTGAAGTGGGTTTGAGGAACTTGTGCTTCGAACATTGCAAACTTTAAATTCTAGAATAGCATATGCACATACCTTTGAATCATCCTTTACTATTTGTTACAGTGAGACCTCTGTATGAGATTGAACATTAATAATTGGTGCGGCAGGGTCTATGTTGTGCCATTTCTCGCTCTGTACTCACTGTTCATAATGATGGTGGTAAGGTAGTAATAAAAACTTCAATTTGATTAGCAGAATTCGAATTATATTGAATACACTCTAATATAACAATAAAAGGTGGACATAGAAAAATTAATTTTATTTTAATTATATGATGGCATTGCAATTTTTCTTATTTTATTTCTGAACAATTTGTGACTCAAAGGCTGTCATATGTTTGAACAGAATTGAAATAGTTATTTAAAAGTTGGAAGTTGGAACAATTTTCGATTATGGTGGATGGATCTCTAATTCATCTGAAACAATTTTCGATTTACTTTTTAGTTGTAGTAGGCATTAGGATTTGTAAGAAAGTTAAAAATAGACATTAAATAAGGAAGTTCACTTTCTAATTGTTTAGTTCCTGTAGTAGATAATGATGATATTTAAGGTTTGATGCTTCCACAACCATTTTCTGTCCTTAAGAGGTTGTTATTTGGTCATAGGTACTTGTATAGAGGCTTAGCTACCGGAGATCGTCCGACATGTGATCAATGTCTTCGGCTTCATGAGAAATTGACTGAAAAAGCCGGACTGGGTTGCATTCTACGTTTCCTAACTGATACTGTAAATACTGTTTGATTTCTGAACTTCCTTCTTTACTTGGTATTTTGTTGTTGTTGTTTGTTCTTGAGTTTTCTTTTATGTTTTTGCAAGACTATATATAACAAGCAATGTATCGAAATATCGGGTAAATTTATAAATGGATTCATTTATTTTCTTATCCGATTTTATAATAGACTGCACTGCTCTTTATGTATCCATGTTGTTTTCTGGAAAGAAAGAAAATGCCTTGATGTGATAAGGGGAGGGATAGCTTCACTATTGTTGCATTGTTTCTAGGATTTGTTGAAGTTGGCAGTGGCAGTGGTGTGGAAGTGAGATTGGCATAGTGACTAAGACTTGTCCTTTTCTTTGTTACGAAATCTCGTCCTTCATCTTCGGTAACGATGAAGAGTTACAACAAATGAAGGGTGGTCGAATCGATAAGGGTTGATATTAGTGGATTGTGGCAGTAAGGCCACTCTGTGCCTATGGCTCTTGTTTTGATAGAAGGTTGTAACAATAGGTTATAAAGCATGAACTAGAGAGTGTTAGTGCCTATCATCAAGAATATGTTTATAAGCAAGTTGTTCATTCTATCTTCAACCATCTACACATAAATTTTCATTACTCTTAACATATACATAGGAAAAATGAATCTAATTAACTTTTAACTCTCTCATTTAAAATAGTCCAGGTTAGTCATGTTCCAATAATACACCAAGATAAGAAAATTGGATCAAATCATCAAACTCTATTTCAAAGTTGTTAATAATTTAGTCTTACAGCAATATTGCAATATTGCGAGAACATTAACGGCGGTTCGACCTATTCAATTATTGATTGGAACTAAAAACAATTTTGCTTTGTAGTTATAACTAAATGAACAGTTGTAATGCTTTTAATCAGAGAAATTATGAACTGGTCGTTAGACATGGTTTAACCGAAAAACTGTGGAAGTTGTTGACCAATTAATTTATTTAAATTTTAAAAAATGAAGAACATTACTCTAACTTTTTGTTTTAGCCAAAGATGGAAAAATATTATGTCAATATTATTATATATAATTACTGATTATGTAAAATATGCATTAATAGTTAATTATTAATTATATATGGTATCATTTGAACCAATCAAACAATTTAACATATTAAACCTAATGAGAGATCTCTTCCAATTTAATTTCTTGCTCGGATTTTTTAACATTGATTCGTAGACAATATAAAATATGGAGAAATCTCTCACAACTTTTATAGTGTGCAAACATACATTAACAAAATGGGGAAGTATGATGGAGTAATGTCGTATGGAGGTAGAAGGCCTATGCGTCATGAACTTCTTTTTCCATAGAAGAAGCAATGACGGTATCCGGGGAACAAGCATTGGCTAACTTTGTGCCAGCAGTCGCGATAAGACAGAAGATGCAAGCGTTATCCGGAATGATTGGACGTAAAATAAGTGACTTTTTAAGTTCGTCATCAAATCGCATGGCTAAATGGAAATATATTTTAACATAAAAAAAAATTAAAAAATTATTTATATATGTATCAAGTAGTTATTAATGCAAATAAGGGGTGTTAAGAGCACAGTTAATATTATATGATTATCACATTTTTTTAATTACACATAATAATATATTAAATCAATCAATTTAATATTATGTATTTTTCAATTCCAACATAAATCAAAATATCATAGTTATTTTAATATTATGTTTTTTTGAGGAATAACATCATTTGTCTCATACTTTGTGATATTTGTAATTGGGTCCAAAAATATTAAGTTATATTAAATGTGTAAATATTATGCTTTGGATTTAATTTTGTACCATTCACATTGTCTGGCATATGAGTCCCAAAATATTTAGGACATGAGATATTATTATATCTTTTGAAATGTCTCTTTGATTTTATATCACACCACAACTTACTATTATTGGAATGAAAAATGAGAAAATGAGTGATTTTACATCTTCTTATGCTTCTACATCTATATCATTTCCACAATTGTCATTTTACAAATATACCCTTTCTTCTAATCTACAACTAAACTAAAAAAATTCAACTTTTTCCTCTTGGAAGTTGGAACCCAAAAAGAGCATAAGCTTTATAATTATAAGGCCTTGTTTGCATCCTTAAATTTTGGTCATGATTTTGTGGTTTAGCATATCCTAAACATGAATATTTACAATAATCTTCCCTAGATAATCATACACTAGGAGTCTGCCTTGTTAAACTATTGCTTAGAAAAATTTAATGAAATAAAAAGTGAAGAAAAAAAGAGTATACTATTTTTAAATGAACTTTTGTAACCTGTGCAATACTGCATAACATAAGCCATAACTCTCATTTTTAATTCGGTTGAATGTGAGGAAAGTTTTCAGCATACAAGATAATGGGGTTGATACTCTCTTCTGGAGTTAATCATTGTTTTGGAAGTGGTTGTGTAGATGGAATGGGCTCAAAGATAAAAACGTGGAAGGCTCACATATAGGGTTGTAATTTGTATCAAATGCTAGGAAGAGCAACTGCTTTATGTAGGCTCCACCAACCGGTTATACGAGCTGCTCATGGACTTAACTCTAAAGACAACCGGGCATTCGAGCTGCTCACAAACCGATCATATAAAATGCTCATGAGCTTAACTCTAAAAACAACCGGGCATACGAGCTGCTTGTGATTTAATTTTAAGGGTAAGTTTCTAAGTTAAGTTTTAGACGGAAATAAAGTGAAAAGAAATGCTTGAGAACCATGAAATATACGGGTGAAATGACTCCAAATCCTTTCATTTCTCTTCCTTCTGAAACTCAACTAGCAAACAGATCCTAGTTCCTAGTTGTAGTACTCATCCTTATTTTGTATTGAGGAAGGTCTTGCAAAAACTGTCTTCTAAAAAAAGTACCATAATAATAATATAACAATTCCTATATGTTTTCATATCACTCAACTGTAATTACAGACATAATGCTATAAATTCTTCATATCATCAAACTGCTGTAAGCTGGTATTAATGTCAGAAACAACATAACAACAAGAGAAAATCATAATACTTTATTTGAATATCACAGCATATCTGACCCAGAGAGCTTTCTTCTATATCTACACAATGAAAACATTGCCACAGTGAGAACATGATAATGTCATACAATCTAGCAGATTATAAATTGTCACAATGGATAAATGATGGATATATTATAAAATGTAAGTAATATAACTATTGAGTAAAACATAGGTATTCTAGTTGGTTCTTAAAACAGAAAACTGTCACTAAATAAGTCATAACTCATAATTCCCGGAAAGTTTAAAATGACATCATATAAAGTAAAATTAAAAGTTCCTAAAAGACTCAAAATTTTATCAAATTATGTCCATAGAATGAACAATTTGGTAACATATTTGAACTTTTAGGTATATGTTCTTTCAAGGACCAAAGTTAATAATACTTGTACTTTGGAGTATTGATGTTTTAGTTAAAAAAATAAGTACTTTTCTGAAGTATCAAATGTAATGCAACAAGCAAATCAAACCATGAAACAGAACACAAATATTTAAAAAGGAATGCCCTAATAAAATTTAGAAATCATGTGCCATTTATATTCAATATGTAAGGGGGGAAGATGAATGCTGAAGATAGTAAACTTTATTGATAATGTTATGAATGATGATGTGATTATATTAATACTAGACTCCTAATTAAATAAGAAAACATATCATAAAAGATGAAATAAAGTAATCTTAGTCCTAAGAGATATTCTAATATACTCTAACAAATCCTAATAAAAAAACAATCATTTTCTTTTGCAATACATGAATATATCATTTTCTAATAAAAATTGATTTTTCAAAGTCCTAATAAAAAACAACAATTTCCATTTGTTAGGCATTAACATACCATTTTGTAATAAAAATTGATTTTCAAGTCCTAATGAAAAAAAAAAACATTTTCATTTGCTATGAAATTAGTATACCATTTTCTAATAAAAATTGATTTTTGAAGTCCTATTAAAAAAAATCATTTTCATTTGCTACGACATTAGCGTACAATTTTCTAAAAAAATTGACTTTTCAAGTCATAATAAAAAAACAACCATTTTAAGTTGTTAAGGCATTAGTATACCATTTTCTAATTAAAATTGATTTTTCAAAGTCGTAATAAAAAAACAACATTTTTCATTTGCTAAGGCATTAATATAATTTTTTCTAATCAAAATTGATTTTTCATGTCCTAATAAAAATACATCTATTTTCATTTGCTAAGGCATTAGTATAACATTTCTTAATAAAGAAATGATTTTTGAAGTGCAAATAAAATAAATAATCATTTTCATTTAATAAGACATTAATACTCAATTTTCTTATAAAAATTGATTTTTCAAGTCTAATAAAAATACAATCATTTTCATTTGTTAAGACATTAGTATGTTGTTTTCTAATAAAAATTAGTTTTTCAAGTCCTAATAAAAAACAACTATTTTCATTTTATAATGCATTAGTACACCATTTTCAAATAAAAATATATTTTTCAAGTCCTAATAAAAAAGCAACAATTTTCATTTGCTAAGGCATTAGCATACCATTTAAAAAAAAAAATATTTTTGAAGTCCTAATAAAAAAAACAACCATTTTCTTTTGCAAGACATTAATATACCATTTTCTAATAAAAATTGATTTTTCAAAGTCCTTATAAAAAAACCCATTTTCATTTTCTAAGGCACTAATATACCATTTTCTAATAAAAAATGATTTTTCAATTACTAATAAAAAACAATCATTTTCATTTTATGAGGAATTAATATACCATTTTCTAATAAAAATTAAATTTCCAAGTCCTAATAAAACAACAACCGTTTTCATTTGCTAAGACATTAGTATACCATTTTATAATAAAATTTGATTTGTTAAGTCCTAATAAAAAAGCTACCATTTTCATTTTCTAAGGCATTAGTAAACCATTTTCTAATAAAAATTATTTTTCAAGTCCTAATAAAAAACAACAATTTTCATTTGATATGCATTAATATACCATTTTCTAATAAAAATTGATTTTCAAAGTCCTAATAAAAAAAAACAATTTTCATTTGCTAGACATTACTAAACTATTTTGTAATAAAAATAAAATTTTCAGTTCCTAATAAAAAAAACTATCATTTTCATTTGCAAATGCATTAGTATTCCATTTTCTATTATAAATTGTTTTTTCAAGTCCAAATAAAAAATCAATTATTTTCATTTGAAAAGGCATTAATACACCATTTTCTAATAAAAATTTGGTTTTTTTATTAGGACTTGAAAAATTAATTTTTAAAGTCCTAACAAAAAAAACCCATTTTCATTTGGTAGGGCATTAATATACCATTTTTAATAAAAATTGATTTTTCAAGTCCTATTAAAAATACAACCCCTTTCATTTCTAAGGTATTAATATACCATTCTCTAATAAAAATTGATTTAAAAAAAAAACAACTATTTTCATTTGCTAGGCATTAATATATCATTTTCTAATAAAAATTGATTTTTCAAAGTCCCAATAAAAAAAAATTTCATTTGCTTAATATACCATTTTATAATAAAAATTTATTTTTCAAGTCCTAATAAAAAAAAACCATTTTCATTTGATAAGGCATCAATATAACATTTTCTAATAAAAATTGATTTTTAAAATCCTAATAAAAAAGCAACAATTTTCATTTGCTAATGCGTTAATATACAATTTTGTAATAATTTTTTTTTCAAGTCCTAATAAAAAAACAATCATTTTCATTTGCTAAAGCTATATACCATTTTCTAGTAAAAATAGATTTTTTAAGTATTAATAAAAGAACAACCATTTTCATTTGCCAAGGCATTAAAATACAATTTTCAAATAAAAATTGATTTTTCAAGTCCTAATAAATGTACAACCATTTTCATCTCCTAAGGCATTAGTATACCATTTTCTAATAAATATTAAATTTTCTAGTCCTTATAAAAAAATTTGGATGAGTTGTGTGTTCATAAACACTTGAGTGACCACCACGTGACTTATATTACAATTTGCATATTTTGTACAATGACACAAGATTTTCTTATTAATTTGTGAGTTTTGGAAATCAAAATCAATAAATTCATTAACCCCTTTAATATATTCTGCATTTTGTTTTGATGTTTCATACTATAGGTGCAGGGGAAGCGATCGTTGCCCAGCGTTGATCAAAATCAATTAAATAAAGTGAATAGAATAAAGAGAAGATAAAAACCAAAGAATTTTATAACGGGGTTCGACCAATTGTGCCTACGTCCCTAGGAGCGCTGAGCGACTACCTAGATATTAATAGAGAATAAGAATTACAAACCCTAGCACACCCATGAACCCAAGTGTCGATGATGTGTTTCTATTTTGTCTTTATATCTCGTGCACATTACAACAAGGGACTTGAGTCCGATATATAACATTGATT